CATCCGAGGATTGTTTAGGTCGGGGGATATTTCGGTCAAGTTTGTTCCGACAACGGAGCAACACGCGGACCTCCTCACCAAGGCCCTTAGCAGGGCCAGTCTGCAGTATCACCGGCGCAAGCTGATGATTTGCCGGAGTAGCTGTCGCAGTTTCTAGCACTTGAGAGAGGCCATGTTTTCCATGCGGGGAAAGGCGCATAGCTGTTGCGGTCTGTGTACCAATGGCAGGAGTAGGGGGCGTTGGGAGACCATCGTCCGGGGGAACGTAATTCCTCGCGTTCTTGTCTTCGCCTTGGCCTTTCTAATAAGTGCGGCCGTTGTGATCCGCTGTGATAGCGACGTTTTTTTTGTGGTGGTAGGGTTTTCCCTTGAGGGGTTTTGCCCGGACGCCGGCTTTCCCCTCCATATGTTACCATGTTGGTATTTTCTGATGTATCCTGGGGCGTTCTTGCCCAATTGATGGTTAGTCACTTGCGTGAAGAACCAGGGAGGGTGTTCGTGAGTCTGCGAACATTGCTGTTGGATACATGTGCTGGATGATTTTGTGTCACGCAGACTGGTAAGATAACCGTTTGATAGGGGGCACCGCGATGATTCACGGGGCCCCTCCTTGCTGTGGGAGCCGCTCTTTGAGCACTCCCTCTTTCGTCCGTGTGAAGGACGGTTGTCGACCTCTCGTGAAGTTAATACATCACCAAAACAGTCTCACCCGATAAATAAGCGGCGTAGGCCGCAAACAGGATGTAGACTATAGTCTATGATATCTGATATTGAAGCCAGCGGTACCAACTACTACTCTGTGCCGTACTTCGGCGATACCATGTAGATATTGCTGCACTGCTGTTGGTGTGTGACCGAGACCTTCAGGCGCGACATAAATATTCCGCCGCCGGTGACGGACGGTAAGTAAACGCATCATCAACACGCGTTGGCTGCAGGACCCATACCTGTGTGTGTATGTAGTTTGTAAGTGAGGAAAAAATAAACTTCCAAGTACTCAATCAAGCATTTGCCATCTCGAGGATGCCATCTGGCAGGATACGGGATGTAGTGTCCATGGATCCATTTCTCTCTTTCACACGCTGGTAATGTCGAGTGTTGTGCCCCTCCGCTCTCACAGGGAGGGGTGGTACACGGGGGAAGACGATGATGAGTGCTCAGATAGGAATGAAAATCCTGTGACTCACGCGGAGCTTTCAAAAATAGACTAATAGTCAATGTATGGCCGAAAAAACGAGATGCGACAAGTGATGTTTTTCTCCAGGTTGCCGCAACGACCGTACACAGCAAGCAATTGTTAAGGAGGACCCGATTCGCAGGGTATCCGTCGATTGACTCTTACCTGAATCGGTACACCTTCGCATATGGCGTCAGCTGGATACTGGTTCAAATCTCCTTGGTTGCACTTTTTCTCCTGACTTGGATATTTTCCCAAGGACACAATGTGTGTCAGTCCTGAGATCACCTCTTGGAGTCGATCCGACAAAGAACCTTGTGACACTTCCATCGAATTACCCATCCTGGCCACAAGAGGTTCCCAGTTGAGGGTAAATTCTGTGGGTGGAGAGTGTTAAGGAGGACCCGATTCGCAGGGTATCCGTCGATTGACTTTTACCTGAATCGGTACACCTTCGCACAATACATCGATACAGTTGGGGCCCGCGAATAAGAGACGTCAATTTCGGGTCGAGGCTCAATCAAAGTCTATTTTTCTGGCTGTTGTTGGTCGAATACTCGTGATATTTCTTAAAATATATGATAATTCCTTTTTGTTTGGCTCTATCGCCTGGCTTGTATACGCCACTCAGTTAGTTGCCGTTTCTTATGCTGTTACCCATTCTTTCGACAACCATACCCTCCGTCCACGAACGTCTCCCAACCTATGAGTGCGCAGGACAGAAACTAATTGGACAATCACTTCCGGGGGTCTCGTCTAACTGATGATGCTGCCAAGGTGCCCAGGTGTGCCGCCCCCCCCCTGTGCAACAATCAATGCATTGTTCGGAAGAAGAAACGCACGAAGACGCTCAATCAAGCTATTGGCCATGAGCTCCGGTCCCCTACTGTAGTTTGCTGTGTCTCGTGCCTCTGTGGGTGCGTGTTTCCTTCTTCGGATGCTTCTTATCTTTGCGTCCGTTTTGAGGTGTGTTTCTTAGTCACTCTATCTTATTTTCCTTCAAAAAAAGTTGAGGGTCTTTTCCTTAAATTTTTCTTAACGGCGGGCCGCAATTGTTCTACGCACACACGACGATCCTGCTCTTGCGCTGTTGACGAGTGGCCGTACATCACCAGCCACGGTCCTTATCTGCGAACAAACCTAGTCCGGGCGGAGAGGCGCCGCATCGCGCGGGTCAGGTCATCATGCGTTCGAGTCCCGGAAGAGTGAGTTTTTTTCTCACTAAATAAATCCTGGGCTAGGATGAGAACGACACGCTGCAAAGCTCGTTGTTAGTACAAACATAATCGACTTCGTGAGCCGCGAGGGAAGGGATTGCTGTACCCTTCTCGCGATAAAAATACCTCAGGCAGGAACCGCAGGAGGGGTCCAGCCCCCCCCTCCTATGTGACCCCGGTTGGGTCGTCTAGCTAGTAGAAGTGGAGGATAGGGGCCAGAGGGACAGACGACAGAGTCTAATGATTGGAGAAAAAAAAAAAATTGTAGGTGCCGTGATGGCGGGACGAAATACTGAAGTAGTGGTGTCATCCTGTTGCGGTCGGACACACATATATTGATGTGTATACACCAGCTAGCGAAACCAATTTCCAACTTCATTTCTCATGTGCTTGCTGCACACGTAGTCGGCATCGGTCCGTTGCAACCACTAATGGTTTGATTGCCAGGCCCAGCAACGCTGGTTGGTCCGTCCTGGCTGACCAATGCTTACGGTGGCCACGTTTGATGCTCTCTCCTTTGTAGTTACTCGGGAGGACGGCCAAAAAAGACAGCAGTGTTAAGTGTCGGCATCCTCCGTACAAAAATAGGCTCTGAATCCATTTTGTTTGATTAATTGTCATGTGGCAAAGCTTGCTTGCCGTCTGGCGAAGAAATATACAATAACGTGCATCCCAGCAAAGAAGACATACACGCCACACTCCCCACATTCTACAACATACACGACCGTGCGCACCGTGGGCGTAGCACAGGCAGGCAAGATCCGACGTAGCCCCTCTCATGTGTTATGTACAGAGATACTTCACTGAATCATTCCAGATGGATGCTCCTCGACCAAATCACTGATGTTATAACCGTTCGAACCCAGGGACACAAACCAAGCACCCACTTCTTAACTTCAGTCTCCAGAGCACACAAAAAACTTCACCGGGAACTGAAATCCGTCAACAGGTGAAATGCAACACACACAAGCCTTGCTGCACAATCTTGAGGTTTACACACACATCCTCCAAACAGCCGGGAGAATCGAGGGGAAGACAAGAGAGAAGAGCATCGGGAGAGATAAACAGCTGCCCGACACAGCTCAAACGGAACGACTTTGCGCATGCCGCCGCAAGTCCCAAATTCGTTACTACAAACCGCCCTCAGTATATATTCATATGTACATAACACGCACAACGGAAACGCAATGAACTGTTCGTATCACATCTATGGAAAAGGTACCTCCCATTTCTCGACCCGACTCGACAAGGCGTCAAATATCGGTGGTTCACAAGATGGGCGACGAGAACGCCTACCACGGGGTGTCTCACAAGCGACCCAGGCTTCGTCGTCGGGGTGACCAGCGGATGTCTATATAATCCCTACAAAAGCTGCTGCAAGAGCACTACTTGCAGAGGTAAGGTCGTCGTACAAGAAGCTTCCATTCCCTCGGAAGAAGAAATCGGTTGCCGTGTACGCCAATGGCAGCAAGTTCCAATGAGAACCCCAACTGCTTAGGAAAGAAAAACGCTTCCTCCTATATGAGCGTCATCCAAACTACCAATTACCACACGCTCAAGTATTATTTCTCTCTAACTACACCAAAGGGCCAGTCCAATACGCACGGCCGGTAAGAGTCTATACCCGACACGAGGGGAGGAGGACTAAAAGGGATAATCCAATGATCTGATTTCTATAACTTCGGTAACAACAGAGACCATTGCGAGGGGTGACATGAGGGTAAAACGAAAAACCCAGGAGCAGATAATACGCGCCGTCAGCGCCTGCGCCCGTGCTCTCTGCGTGTAAAACACATTCTTCAAACCTGTGTTTTTCAGTCGCTGTCCGCCAAAAGAAACAGTTTCTCAACTCAACCGCACCCTTCTCTTTCCCGAAGACTCTGGCCGCTCGAGTGGAATACACTCTGGCCAAACACTCAAATAAAGCAGGTACCCCCCATCGTAACCGCAACGAATAAAGGCCGAGAAAACTTAAGTAATACATAGATGTCCAGAGACGCTTGCCGTTCTCTTCTCCTGGGAAGACGTCTACTCTCTTCTCTTCTCCGACGAAGAGAACAACCGGCCCGGCGGCGGCGGCGGGCACGAAAAAAAAAACGTTCGGAACGAAACTACCGAAGCTTGCCTACTCCGTTGGAACTTCCCCAACCGATGCAAACTTCAGCGGCCACCAAGAGCGGGAGGGCCCTTTCGCACACGAACGGCGAACAAGAGACAGCCGGTGTGATGGATACACCGACGGACTCCTGCCGTGTCTGGGCCCCCGTTGCCAGCAAGGACAAAAACACCCGTAGTGAACTCAAAAAAAGAAATCACACACAGTTCGAACAGACTCACTCAAGGACTAAAAGGCGGCGCTTGTGTATCGCGAACCCGAGATTTACCTCGCGCACACTCGACACAAAATTACAACCACGCGCGCTTTGTACGAAAAAATACATCCATCGGAAAGACTCAAGCACACAAACATCAACTCAAACGTAAGGGAAATCTAGGCTACGGCCATATATATATAAGGCGTGGTCTGTACGAGGCAGCCACGCGTAGGGGTGCAAAAACATGAGCATCCAAAGAAGGGGGGGGAATTCAGGGAAACAGGAGGGGGACAAAAAAGGAATCGCTAACAAAGAACAGCAGTTGGAGGCACATTGAAGGGTGGGCCGTGACAACAATTGTTGCATCAAATATCTTGTTCTCAGAAGGTAGTTTTACCACATGCATCGACATCATCGCCATGTCATGCTACCGCACCCACCAGCATCCAATCTACAAGCAAACTCCATCACCCACACTCTCACCCGATTTTTTTTGTTTCTCCTGGTTCTATCAACACACCAAATCCTCAACGTTGTTATTGTATCTTGGTTCTACTATCGACATCCCCGCCCAGACCAACACCTCTCGGTCTTCACACTTGCTCTTACCTCAAGACATGAGCGAGCGAGAAATAAAAAAGGTGGCATATCACCGGGCAGTTCTTTGCTATCGTGCAGGCTCTCTCCGCTGCTTTGTGCTTATACACAAGTTAGCCGACCAGCCGGCGCACGATGCAGCGGCAGCAGCAGTGCCGTACCGAATCTTCTCTTTCATTTTTGTTCGTTCTTGTCAAACTACGCCGTCCACGTCCTGTCTTTAACTGGCCCGCTTCTTCCGTGGGCCAACCAGCGGCAGACCTCGTCCACATCTTCGGGCGACAGGTCTTCTATTCCGCACAGGTCCATCGGACTGGTGAGGCACTCGGGCGCGTCTACGCACGACTGGTGGTGCCACCTGAGGAGCGTGAACCTGTCCTCGTGCATGTAGAACGCTCCGAGCTGCGTGGGCGCGGTATCGTGGTGGCGAAAGAATGGTGCGGCGAAGGGGTTGTTGAACACGCGAGCGTGATAAGAAGAACTATTATCGACTGCTGCTGCTGTACAGCGATTAATGATGCATGATTAATGGGCTATGCATTTTGTATAATGAATCGATTGATTGCGCGTGTGAGGTGTACCTCTAACGCGTACGTATGTATCGCTGCTGTGCATGCCTTGCTCGATTACACCGAGATCCAACGAAAAATATTTGTGCTTCTATACGCGAAACTTCGGTGTTTACGCTGCTCCCTTGGGACCCGGCTGGTGCGGCAACCCTAGAACAGTGGAAAAGTTATATGCACCGATGGGTACGCACATAAGCCATGCACCCATAACTTGGCAGTCCCGCCTATCACAAACTTCTTCGCCGGTTTCGTGCCTCTGACTGAAAATCGAAAAAAAAAATGTGCACCCATGGACACGCACACAAGCTATGCACACATACCTTGGCAGTCCCGCGTATTACAGACCCGCACGAACACCGTTTACCACCCAAGAGCGACCTAGCCCTACTTTAAGGCCCACCAACCTAGCACTTGGCCACGTCAGGACCAACCTAGCAGCTATCCAGGCAATACCAACCTAGACTTATCCCATCAACGCCAATCTAGCACCTATCCAAGCAGGAACAACCTAGAGTTTTTCCCGTCAACACCAACCTAGCCCTAATGCAGGCACAAAAACCTAAAACTGAGCCACCCAGGGCCAACCTAGCACCTATCGGGTGGGTTTGGATTTGGGGTTGGGGTTAGAGTTACGGTTTCTAGCCGGTTTCGTGCCCCTCCCGAAGCAGAGGATCTAGTGTTTTAGGAGCACAAAAATGCCTCTGCTTGAAAATCTGATTGAAAATCAGTTGCTGGTTGAAGGGACACGTCTGAAGCATGCAGGAGGGCAGGTCAACGGTACGAGCCTCAGACATGGTTTCCCTTTTTTACGCATGGGTGCATATAACTTTTGCCCTAGGATACATACACGATGTGCATACAATACCAATACCTCACAGCGTAGCCGGCGAACAGACTGGACGAAAACACACATGCACATGCACATGCACATCAAGATACACACATGCTGACCACAAAAAAACACGCCCCCGCCAGTGAATAATCTACCGTGCTGGTGTTCACTACCGCGCACAAGATAATGTGAAGACAACAACACCAACAAGGAGCATGTTGGAACATCAGGCGAAGCCATCAACTACTACCGTTGTTGAGGTCACGAGCAGAGTCAGATCGGAAAGGAGGGTGGTGAGGGCAAAAGCTCAAATGGGGAGATGCTGCAAAAGTACAACGTCAACCATATTTCGTTGGATTGGGTACATAGTTCGGTTATTTGCTACGGCCGGCGACAAAAACTTACACTTTTAAAACAACACCACCAGGCCACCAGGGCGGAGTACGCCGAAGGGTGAAGTAGTCTACTCAGCAAAATTGATTACGCAATCATACGGGGTAAAGTATTCAATCCGTGCTTCGGGGTAACGGTTAGGGTTAAGGACAGGGTCTGTATACCCTTTTAAAGCCTGCGTAGGCGGTCGGAAGGGTGACGATCGCTTGCTCACGATCGTGCCGGGGTAGTGTGATCCACAAGAACAAAAGCGGCAAAAAACTCGCAAGCAAAGTATCCCTGTGGTCGTGGGGTGCGCGGCGAACCTTGGCGACTTCTACCTCGCTACACAAAACTGCTGGGGGAGCGACAGCACGCACGAGCATTTATCGCCGGTGCCGGGGGCGGTGCCGGAAAACGGCAGCACCCACCCTGCGCGACCAACACGTGGATGAGCAAAACTGTCGCTTCGTTGCTACGCATACTGCTTTCGTCGTCGCAATTTACTACGGCGTATTTTCGCCAGATGTGTTGAGAGAATCTGTAGGGGGAGTCCGGCGCACTTCCGGTCCGCCCGAAAGCGTTACGACGTACATACGCGTGTGTCGACGAACCGGTCAAGCTTGGTGGTCCGTTTTCGGTGTTGCTCAACACTACTACTGTACACTTCCTTCACAAAGACGTGGATACGGCCAAACTGAAAGTTACGACTTGAGGCTCCAAAGGGGGCAAGAGAGCGGCAGTCGATATTTTCGTCATTACATGCAACGTGGTGATGCTGCCGGAGGATTTTTGTTGGCATGAAACGCTCCGTCGCAGTTACCGATTGTTTGTGATTCGTTTTTTTTCACCGTGTGTGGAAGACAGAAATAACGGATGGAAGCCATCATCAACGGATAACGGGGCAAATCAATGCCGGAATACCGGCTGGGGTCAGGCAAGAAGCGACGCCGTTAAGTGTCCGCGACTACGACGATCATCGAGGTACGGGGGGGGAGAGGCCAGATCAGCAACAAACCCAAGTTGTATGAGGGAACAACAAAGTTTTGTACTTGTGTGAGTTGACTTGACGCGCCCAAATTTAATAGTCCGCTTTTGGCTGAGGTGGGGGCGGGTACATGAGAACAAAAAGAAGCGTGCGCAGCTAACTACATGCGCGGGAAACAAATTTGGGGTACACTGCTGTGCGCTGCTGCAGCTCCTTTTACCTGGAGCTGTCCAGCCGAAATCTTGCAACCGCAGGAGCTGCATCTGACCCTTCCCAGCCCGCGCGCGTAGCCGATGACGAAGTCCTCGGGGGCCAGCTCCTTCCAAGGGTTGAGAAACAGCCGGTTCCGATGGTGCTTATGCTGGAGGAGCCGCGCCTGGTCGTCGAGGCTGTAGCGGCTGCTGCTGCAGTGCTTGCCTTGTTCTGCTGGTGCTGCTGCTGCTGCCGGGGAGGCCATGATGGTGGCAGGCTCGACGACAGGGCGCAGGTGCTGGGCGGGCTGGTGCTGCTGTTGCGGCCCCATGGAGACGGTGGCGAGGGAAGGGGAGACAGAGCCGGGCCCCCGGCAGGCTGTCGCGCACAGACTCCCTGGTTGTTATGTTTTGCCGTGCGAGCGAGAGCACCTCAATCAGAAGGGGCGATCCGAATCGGCCAACAAAATAGGAAGGAGCCTTGTTGGCGAGCAGCAAAAGGAACACTGATGTGGTGGACACACGCGCAGCGGTTGCTGCAAGCGTGACACTGATGTGGTGGGCACAAGTGCAACGGTTGCTGCAAGCGTGTATGCAAAAACAGCTACTTCTCGCGGATTTCCTCTGCTGGTCCGCTGAGGTTCGTCGGAGAGATGACACCAGCACAGGTGGGTGCTCTGATGAAGGTGAATGATGAAGTGTGGAACAGGGCGCGGGTTTTGGTTCTGATACTTGATTGTACAACCTGCATCCTCGCTCGTTTTGTTTCATTTCCTCTTTCCTTGCTGTTTCTTTTTGTTTTCTTCTCTTTTTCTCTTTCTTTTCCTCTATTTTTCTGTGCCAGATGGCCTTTTCTCTGATTGAGTTGTTGTGAAGGAACAGGGCGCGGGTTTTGGTTCTGATACTTGATTGTACAACCTGCATCCTCGCTCGTTTTGTTTCATTCCTCTTTCCTTACTGTTTATTTTTGTTTTCTTCTCTTTTTCTCTTTCTTTTCCTCTATTTTTCTGTGCCAGATGGCCTTTTCTCTGATTGAGTTGTTGTGAAGGAACAGGGCGCGGGTTTTGGTTCTGATACTTGATTGTACAACCTGCATCCTCGCTCGTTTTGTTTCATTCCTCTTTCCTTACTGTTTATTTTTGTTTTCTTCTCTTTTTCTCTTTCTTTTCCTCTATTTTTCTGTGCCAGATGGCCTTTTCGCTGATTGCGTTGTTGTGAAGTTTCAAGATTGAACCAAGGGGGTCTACCTCATTCTCTCCGGCCCGTGATGGTGACTCCTAGTCTCAGTTGTTACCTCGCATAGCGCGCGGAGGGAGTGGAGGACTCCACATTATCTGTCGTCGATTTCTATTGACTTGCGGACCCCTCGGGGCCATTTTATTTGAGTGTACCTTTATAGGGTAAAGTTGCCTGAGGGTAGTGTGTGTGTGTTTCATTTATTATGACGACAGTCCCCCCATTTTTCCTGGTGAGACGTGAACTGGATTTTTCGGCGTATGTTGAGTACTACACTTTCAGTGTATTTTTTCGTACAACCACAACCATCGAGGATCACACAGGAGGGGGTGAACACCAGGGCTTTCTGCTTTTTATTTCTTTTCATGCACCACGTTCCTCCTGCGGTGCGTGCTGAATTCCATTTCTATCGCGAGCAGGGTCCAGCCGTCCCTTTCCCTCGTCAACGGTGCTAACGTCGAAGTTTGGTACTCACGAGAGCTTGTCAGTCAGCTATATTCCGCTTTCACTCGCACATTTCGTAATTTTTTCACCCCATGGGGATTCGAATTCACGACCTCTGCAACTAGCGGATTACGAGAATACCACTAGACCACCGGAGCGACCAGTTGCCTGCGACCACGGGAATCGACCGGGTCGAGTGTCAGATCAGTACGGACATCCGAAGGTACTACTGGGTAGAGAGAGATCGAAATGGTTAAAGACAGCAACAACAACAACTGGCTTGTACAACCTGCATCCTGCAGATTCGAAAAAATATAGATCCAGCGATGATGAATCCCGTCTGATTGGCTGATTGGTCGGGTTGGTTTTTCAAAACACGGAACGGTGGTGTCACAAAATGACGGATCTCGGATCATATTTTTACCTGTTGTTCCCGGTGGTGCTGTCGAACTCTCGGAGGAACCGTTTCTTTCTGTGTAGTCCTGTAGTGAAAAAAACAAACATGAACAACAGGTGGCAGGCTGAAACCACCACGGACCAACTACTACACCTCAATACGCCTGCCGTCCGTGTTAGATGTGCACCGCTACATGATGGGTGCACCCATCGTTGTGGCGAGGGACTGCTCCACGTTGTCCAAAATCTTGCTACTTCACGCTGTCAGCAATCTTGCTAATCATGCTCGCTGATGATCTGTCTACATACAGCAGCAGTAGGCACTCGATCACACCGTTACCCTTTGATTTTTTCTTTAGGCGGGCGTGGGTACCGTCCTCCTTTATTTTTGCTTTTGTTTCATTTTGATCGGTTTCCGAGGGCTCTTTTCTCGAACGAACGGTCGGTGCGGTACCTACCTGTTATTTTCTATCATTTTTTTATATTTTCTTAATCACACAACAAATCCATCTCTATGTTGTTGCTGTTGTTGTTGTTGTCTTCACATTAAAAACCATCCCGGTCTCTCTATCCAGTACCTCCTTCTGTCTCAATCTCTCCGTACTAATCCATCACTTGACTCGGCCAATTTCCGTGGTCACAGGCTAACGTACCTAGAAAAGGTATACCAAAATAAAATGGACCCCTCTATCATCTATAGAAATACGTCTAAGATATGCATATGTTTACGTTTCCCAGACAGCATACAACGATAACTCCCCTGTCTGTGGGTAACAGGCTCAACAAGCCTTTTTTTGTTTTCTTCTTCCGAGTGGTCCCTTTTGTCCTCGCTCTTTTTGTTCCATTTTCTCGTTCCTTACTGTTTCCTTTTTCTTCTCTCTTCTCCTTTTCCCTCTTTTTCTGTGCCAGATGGCCTTTCCATTTTTGTTTTGTTTCCCCGCTAGCGGCGTCGTATGTGCTGGGTTTAGTTTGGAGACCACGGACTCCCCATTTTTTGGGCAATATATGCGAGAAACAATAACAACAACAACAACAACAACAACCCGAATGAAGGAGACCACCAGAACGCTGACTATTATTTCGCTTAGTCCCGCTCTTTCCGGCAAGAACGAAATACCCCCGGGCGAACTTGTATATTTGTAGTCAAAAGAACATCATGATGTATCGTTGGATCATGACTGATTGACTGACTCCATTTTGCTTGCCGTAAGAGATACGCATCGCTACCGAGAGCGAGGAAGGCGTGAAACCCTCGAATAGCTTCAAACGCACATAAGCGTGCTGCTGCCGACCTTATCCCTCGAGCTCACACACAGGCATACCCGATACATGGCAAGAAATATATCCAACAAACACTAAAACTAATTGATGGGTGGGTAGAAATATATCCAACAAACACTAAAACTAATTGATGGGTGGGTGGGCGGATCGAGGACCCCATCAAACAAGGCATAATTACAACTACGCTCCGTTACTCCCATGCCCTGGTGCGTAGTTTCTTTTTTTTTGCATCATTGGACTCTGTCGTCTGCCCTTCTGGCCCCTGTCCTCCGCTTCTACTAGCCAGACGACCCACCCGGGGTGACATAGGAGGGGGGGGCTGGACCCCTCCTGCGGTTCCTGAGGTATTTTTATCACGAGAAGGGTACCGCAATCCCTTCCCTCGCGACTTTCGAAGTCGATTATGGTTTACTAACAACGAACGTTGCAGCGCGTCGCTTAATCTTAGACCAGGATTTATTTAGTGAGAAAAAAACTCACTCTGCCGGGACTCGAACCCACGACCTGGCCCCTAGCAGGCCGCGTGGTTATCCCCTAGGCCACCGGGTAGTGCCTGGTGCTGATACGTTGCCCTTTGATTTTTTCTCTTCTACGCGGGTGTGGGAAGCGTCCTCCTTTTTTTTTATCGGTTTCCGAGGGCTCTTTTTTCGAACGGTCGGTGCGGTACCCGTTATTTTGTTTCTATTATTTTGTTTTCTTTTCCCGCGTGGTTTGTACCCTATATTTGTTTAGTTTCCCCGCGGCGTCGTATGTGCCGGGTTTTGAGAACACGGGCTCCCCATATTTTGTGAACAGTAGAGCTAATAATGTGAGAAACGACAACAACAATATAGTCCACAACAACCATGAAGAGCCCGACCCGACAGGCTTCAGCGAGGAGGCGGAGGAGGGCATCGAAAAGCACCCTCGACGCTCTGAACCTCCGGAAGCTCTCACATAGGCCCTGCAGCAAACATTATGGCCACGCCCATTACCTGGCAGCGCCCATCGTGTCACATGCAGCAGCCGGGTGCAAGGTAGCCTCGTTTACTCAGATAGCAACAAACAACGGAAAATCTACGGACGGACTTTCTTCGTGGACTTTCTTTCTTTTGGTATTGTGGAGTCGTGTGTATTGTAAGAGTCACAAAAATACAGTGAACATGACTAGAGAAGAGACTACGCACCACGGAAGAACAACTGTACCTCAATACGCCTGCCGTCCGTGGGAGATGTGCAATAGCTCCGTCATCTACATTCTTTCTCTCTCCTTTTCATAGAACGGACAACTTACAACTAACTGCAAGAACCCGGTCTTCGCAGTCGTCGGAAGATTTGAACTTGTCGTCCAACTTCGTAAATCTTCGTCCACTACACTTTCTCGGAGGCATACGTCCCCGGTCCATAATTTGTTTGATCTTCAAGTTTGTCCTAGCACCCATTGGTCCTGAGGTACTCCTTGAACCCTATCCCTTCTTGCAACATTCCGTACAAATCTAGACCCTCTCCCTTGTCCTTGGTTTCTATGGTTAGACTATGTTCTTGTCACTCGGCAAGAGCAACGCATACCTTCTTCTTAAACTCTCCTTAGGCCGACCGTATCAACTTGGTCAATTTCGAACTCCTTCCATACGTCATCCACAACCTTAGCCCACTCCGTGGGCTCTCTACCTCTCTTCTTGGTGCCGGGGAAGGGGGGGAGGGGGGGCAGGGACGCTGCGGTGGTGGGTGCGGGGGGGGGAGGTGAGGGGGAACGTTGGGGGCGGGGAGGGGCAACTGGGGGGGAGGAGCGACGGTGACAACAGCGGGAACACGGTGGACGGAAATTCGGACGATGAAGCTGACGGAAGTTAGTTGTGACCACAGAGTCTTGTCGTGATCCCTTGCATTGTTGGTGTTGTTTCGTGGTTACAAACCACGTTCTTTTACTCGTACCGATGAATTACGTGTGATATTCTTGCGTGCGCTTTGTGGTACCTCTCTGTCAGACATATCCCACGGCCAAAATGGGGAACAAGGACGTGCGGACGAAGGCGAACTAATAGCACCACGGATCGGATGTGGACGACGATAACACGGTGTGTTTATGTACACACCGGACGGGTTTCGCGTTCAGGCACCTAGGTCCGTTGCTCTTGGCAGCTTGCTGCTGCCGTAGGTTGAGGTACTCGCCAGGCTGGACATGATGTTGTTTGAAGAGTTCACCACTCTGCCGTCTCAGCATCGCAGCAGCAAAACCTCATCTACGGCTAAACTGTATTGTGAGAATGGCTCGAAGCATGAAACTACCGTTGGAAAGGTATGTGTGCAGAACCGGACGCTGCGGCAGGCACGCAACTTTTTCCTCGATGAAAACACGGCAGAACAGTTGGGTGGTGCGACAACGGGCGTCAAAGATCGGGAAGAGCAAGAGCGCCCAATTTGGCCCTTGTAGAGCTCCATGACTCTGTGCCCTATTTCTTACTGGGCATTGTGCATGGAGTGGTGTGGCATTTGTACCTGAGACTGATCGCGGAAGATGGTGTTCGTGTTTTGATCCTAGGAGTCGTGTCGTCGTGAAGGCTCTCGAGCAGGGTCTACCTCTGGTGCTGCGAAAGCATGCCGGAAAACACAAACGAACAGAACGAATCGTGCTGACGAATATGCACCACAGCAGCATATCAAGACTCAAATACAGTAATCCAACCAAGCAACGTTGCCAGTCCTATGATTGGGCGCTGGTTGAAAACATTTAACAGAGCAAGCTCAGCGGAAGATGCCTGGCCGAAAACAAACGTCCGTCAAGTATGCACAAGCCGTCGGTTGAGGCAGCCACCATGCCGCGAGGCTGGAGCCGAACAAAAGGCTCATCTTGACAAGTGGTGGGTCGTACTGTATTATCTACCAAGTCGCTCTCTGTCGTGTGTCTCTTGCCATCTGGTGGTTTAGTTGGAAAAACACCGCGCAACAAGCTGATGTTTGGGATGCGACTCGAATCTAGGAGGAGTCACATTTCATGCTTCTTCACGTTGTGTACAACGTGGGTAGCAATAAATACGCGTGCACACGAGAGTTGACCTCATGGACGACGAATCAGAGGAACGACTGAAACCTTCTCGCGATGACATGAAAGAAAGCACCGCAGAAGGAATCCGAAGCGTGTCAAAACCGATGTCTTCATGAGAAATATATCTGGCATGGCACCCACACACACTGCTGTCGGCGGAGCTCTATGACTAGAAAGCGTAAATGCATCCTGTGTATGTCCCGCTTGCTCACAAGAAGACCAATCCGCTCGTCATATGATGCATTGTACTTCACGGGCCGTGCCGTCCACTCGTGCGAGTTATCGCGTGCCCCATAGACCGACTTGTATAGCTCGATCGCTCCACAACCAAAGCGGGCTGCCAAAGAAGTTGTTTTGGTGAGATCTCCACAAGAGATTACGTTGCAGTTGTCAGTCGTTTTTCGCACCCCCTCTTGGTTGGATGACAGAGTGTACGAAAAGCGCGGTCATGCTAGACGGAGAACTGTCTCAATTCTTCGACATTGAGCAGGGGGTCCCACAAGGTTGCACGCTGTCCCCAACATTTTTCCAGGTGTTCATCAACGATCTGTTCGAAGTCGTAGAGGCAGTCCGGAAGGGAGTAAAAGTAGGGGACACGGAAACGTCGGTTTCAGGAATGTTGTTTGCGGATGATTTTGTAGGTATGTCGGACACCCCTGAGGGACTGCAACTGCAAATTGATGCGGTGAAGAAGTTTACTGATAAGTGGAGATTGTCTGCCAACGTTAAGAAGAGTGCCGTCATGGTATGCAACGAGAACAAGGAGGAACCAGTAGAACATAGATGGAAGTGGGGGATCGAGGAGATTGCAGTAGTGGACCAGTACACATACCTTGGAGTAGAGATCGCAAAAGACTGCTCGTGGAATGCACACATGTCCAAGGTAGCGGAAAAGGGCAAAGCACGAGCAGGGAAGCTGCACCCAATACTCGCAAACCGGCACCTCGATACACGCATCAAATTGACGGTTTTGAAGAGCGTAATCGTACCGCCGCTAGAGTACGCCGGAGAAGTATGGGAAGGAAATAAGAAGGTAGTGAAAGAACTCGAGGCGGCGCAGATGAAAGCAGCGAAAACCATCCTAGGATGCTCCAGGCGCACAAGTAATGCAGCCGTGAGGGCAGAATTGGGGATCCAATCCCTACGGTCGGGAAGAGACGCGAGGAAGCTGACATGGCAGTATCGCATGTGCGGGATGGGAGAGGACAGGTTGCCGAGAATTGTATGGGAGGCCAAGTGGGCCAACAAAAAGGGGGGTAGACAACCCACGGAATGAGTCAAGGTTGTAGAGGGCGTATGGAAGGGGCTCGACATCGACGAAGATGAAACGCTGGAAACGGAGGGTCTACAGGGGTTCAACGAGAAGATATCTGTTGCTTGTGCCGAGAGAGAACATAATTCGAGGAAAGAATCTAAGGGCAACGAGGGTCTAGAAGTGTACGGAATGTTGAAGGAAGGAATACGGTTCAAGGACTACCTACATGGACCAATGGATGCAGGAACAAAGCTTAAGGTCAAATTCAGGACCGGGGACATAGGCCTTCGAGAACGTCGACGAAGACATAGGACGGTAGACGAGGAAGACGACGAGTTCAAATGTGATTGCGGCTTCGAATGCGAAGACCGTGTTCATGTAGTCGCGGAATGTCCGTTGTACAAGAAGGAGAGGGAAGTGTACGTGACTGAGCTGGGAAAAATAGATGGAACGTACAGGGAGATGTTTGAGGCATGGAATAGAGAGGAAAGGACGGTAGCTGTACTGGGGCATAGGAAGTGGGTTGAAAAGGCAGGAAGGGGTCTCGTTAGGATAGACAGACTAGGGGAGACATTTTTGAGCCACCTTTGGCAAAGTAGAAAGGAACGATTGGCCATCGGTGATCGGTCCTATGGGAACAATGCTCCGTCCTGTCGAGGACGCATGGTCAATCGTCTAACCGCTAAGGCAATCAAAACATACGAGTACGCCCCCCCTCCTGGTTGTGGCGTATTCGAGCTATGAAACTTGGTCGATCACTCGAAGGAAAAGGTTTTCGGTACACACACTAAATTCAAGTGTATTCGACCGTTGGGATAGTTGCAACGTTTTGACCCTCCCCAAAATAGGTGCTTCTACAAACACGCGGGCCTGCACCACTGTATAGCAGCCGTAGGAGGGGCTTCGGTGATCCATTTGAGAATGATGATAGCGGTTGGTTGTAAAGCAATGACATCAGCAACAATGCTCTATCCCTTTTCGGCTGCTGCCGATGAAAAAACTCGGTGCCCCGATTTCAGACACTATGCACACTTGTTCACTACATATCTAGTCTACAGCAGCGCTGTAATGCCATCGTCGTGCAAGGGTTGCAAAGAAGGGGAGGTTCGACAATGACTATGGAATACATTTCTACACGCCCTCCTTTGAGACTATATTTTTTGTGTTCAAGCCGGCAGAACCGAGAACCTTGTTCACTGTTAAGGACTACGGGCATGTTACGTCGTAGTTGTATTCCTTGTTCGATCTCATGGTGATGCTGCATACAGAATGCGCCACCATTCATTGCAACTTGGCAGTTTGCCGGAGATATCGAGGGTTTAAATTTGCAAATTTTCAAACCTACAACCTGTGCTATGCAACAGCATCACTACACGCGTCGTCAGTCAGTGCCTGGTACATAATGAGCAATTAACAGGTCGTTCAACATGGAGGCGTCAGTAATAACAAGAACCCGCGTACACACACGCGGTGTACTACTCTGCGGGCATAGACTATGCGGTATAGACTAGACTCTATATCTAAGAATGGAGTCTCTGAACGCGGCATTTACAAAATATGTGGGCGTCGCCGCCGTTAATAATACTGTACAGTGCAGTCACATCCTACGACACTGCTGTGCTGTCGTCGTGTGCCACCTTAGAACCCGGGTGGGGTGGGTGGGTGGATTCACTGCCAGCCGTAGACTACATGCCGTCGTCGTTAGACCATAGACTTCGCATTCCAACAAAGCCGGGACGGAGCACGCCGGGTTTTCACTATGGACCAGGCTACTAGCTATAGCACATGACCAAGCGCGAAGCGCCGTGAGGTATTCGGCGAGGCGCATGGAGGTTGCGCTGCATCCTGCCAAAAGGGTGTTCGAAGCACTTCCTTGTTGCAGACGGATGACAGTGTTGCGAATGGATGGCTTGATTTTTCTCTGGTTGGTGCATCCCCTTCCAGAGACAGAGCGGGGGTGGGCGCAAACGACGCGACTGCAAGTGTGTGACTGGCGTCTTCTGGTCACGCAATGGATCGGGGCAGCCATGGAAACTGTCCGTATTTTGTCGACCAGGCTGTACCGGTGGCGCTTTCTAGAAGGGCCGCAGCAAATATGAACGATGTAAGTGTGATGAGCGTATAGTCTAGTAGTAGGTCGCAGGCGACCATCGAACCACGTCGAGGAACTGCATACACAACGGTGGCAACTTAATAGTGGTACACGTCTTTATGGTTGCCGAGCTTCAAGAGATTGGCAGAGCGATGGGTGTGGAGACGGGCTTGGGTGTGGGAGCGAGGGGGACATGACGGGAAGAGCATGGAGGGTGGCGCGATCTCAGTTGACGAAGGCGACGATGACGCACGGGAAACTAAGAATTTAAATTCGAAGGGCATTTGGACCGAAGCGGCTACATAGAAAAAGCCACCGTGAGCTCGGGTTTTACGAACACCCTGCTGGCTGCAAGAGAGACAACACTCTCAACGGACACATGGACACACCTCTTCGTACGCATCGGCGGCATCTCTCGGCTTCTCCGCCCCGTGCACAGTGGCAGCCGCGTTCTGCACCGCGCGCTTGTTGATGTCGATGTCGCTGTCCTCGTGAATTGCCTTCATTGCTTTTGTCACCTCTTTTGGCTTCATCCCATGACCTGCGCCGTATGGCAGAGCCGGGAGCACAAAAATAAGTGGCGTGTCACCGACAAACAGGGTAACAAGGTGGAGGCGGCAGCAGTACCACGCTTCAAGGGCCGTTCGTCATGCGGAATCATGACTACCAACCATGACAAACCGTGGGATGCGACGGGAGCTACTGTAGACCTACTCCAATGCGTTCAATCTTCTCACTTGTCATCTGCTTTACTTGTCCCAGCTGCTCCTCCGTTAGTTTTGATGCGAGGCGAAGCTTGACGTCGATGGCCTTGCGGTCGACGCTGTGGTTGTGCGTAAGCTTCATGTTGCTAATCCTGGGCCACCTGTGGGACTTCGCGTGCCGAACGCTAACCTGAAATAACGGAACGGTGGGTCCACAATAAGGATAGAAGAGTAAAAATTAAACGATGGATACGTGGGATATGTGTGTATGTAATGGATCACAACATGGGTCATGGATCACAAGACACCCGACCGACCCCTCCCCGGTTTTAAACACGCAGTTCGGACATCTTTTTCAATCTCACGCTCAAAGACCTCAGACACCTGTTGGACCCTTTCTCCGTCCATTGCACCAAGGCATGTTCCGCGGGAGACCAGCTACGTACCTCAAACGGACAACCAGTCCTCGCGCTTCCCTTTACGTTCCGCCGTTGTACCCCAGGTGCTGCAACACGCCACATGGGAGACGGAGTATAGGCGGTGTGTCATCGACAGTGCGTCATGCATTCACCTGCACCGAAGCATGCATGCTAACACAGGCTTTCGCGCGACTCGCCCCGTCTTCGTCGCCTCAACCATCCTCCTAGTATGCCCAAGTGCCACGGATGAAACGCTTACCGGTGTCTAGACTGGCTTCGTACTCCAGTTGCCGGCTCTTCCCGCCACGGGTACAAATCAGCTTCTTCATGTCCACACGATCCGTTGCGCCGTCGCGACACCTCGTCGACTTCGCGGTAGAAAGGATCGCCCCTTCACCGGCGCACCAACTCACCACCTCCTCCTCCACGTCTTCAAGCGTCTTTCCCTCCGTCTGCACTGCCTCCAGCTTCGCCTTTAACACAGCCGGAACGTACACCTAGTGTTCAAACCGCAATACGACGAGTTATATAGCGGCACGTGCTTCGGGGTGTGGACGATTCTACGGCACAGTGGGGTGTTAAGAGCGTCGAGCACAAAAATACCCGAACTGGATTACTGTACTACAGCACCGAGCAGGCGAATGCAGCGGGCAAGTCACACAGAATGAACATTCTTGTAGGTACACCCAGACCAACACATGCATGGCCCATACCATCGCAGCCTCCCCGTCGTGCATGAGGGTGCAACACTACGGGTATTGTCACCTGCGTTTCCGGCGGAGGGTTGGTGGTCAACGTATGCTGCTGTTGTTGCTGTACGGGGTGGGCTTGTGCAGGGTAGCCCGCAAAACCTCCGGCGGCCCCAGCATAGGGAGCACCCACAGGGGCCGGAGTTCCCAACGGCAGACCAGTGCGAGGTGAAAACATGGCCTGCAACCGCACGCGAAACCCACCACGCGGCGGAAGGGAAGGACACTATGTCAAAGTTTGATCACAAGACAAGACAAATGACACGTTTCGCCGTCCACCGCTGAGTACACGAAAACAGCGAACCGTACGTGCACGCGTTCAAAGGCACGAGGTACAGCACAGCAGGGACAATCCATTGGCGTGCTACACCCACGGAACAAACATNCGTTTAATCACAAGACAAGACGAATGACACGTTTCGCCGTCCACCGCCGAATACACGAAAACAGCGAACCGTACGTGCACGCGTTCAAAGGCACGAGGTACAGCACAGCAGGGACAATCCATTGGCGTGCTACACCCACCGAACAAACATTGCCGGTGTCACGCCGAACCGCACTTGTCAAACATCAACCCGTCTCGCCTGCGTTTCCGGCGGAGGGCTGGTGGTCAATATCTGCTGCTGTTGTTGCTGTACGGGGTGGGCTTGTGCAGGGTAGCCCGCAAAAGCTCCCGCAGCGCCAGCATCACGAGCACCGTAAGAGGCCNCTAACCCCTTAGGGCTATATCGACTTTTGGGGCCATCTCTTGGCCCCATATATATATATATATTTTTTTTTTATTACGTACATTTAGTATGCGAGCGATTCCAAGTTACATCTTTCGTGCGATTTTTTGTTGAAATAACTCTCTGGCGTGATCTCGTGCCTTGCGCGACTGTGAGAGTGCGGCCAATGGTCATCCGACGAATGTTTTATGCTATGATGGGCCGCACGCCGCTGCGGAGCTTCAGGATGCAACACTCACACACCGCCACTCGTGGTATGCTGGTGCGAACCCCGGTTGGCAAGACAGACACATGACATATTGGGAACACGATGCACAAAAGCACGGCCGACAACTGCTGCATGCAGCCTTAACGCGTACTGGCGGTGGTCTCCCAGTTATCTCCCCCGAGGACACCACGAATTGCAAGGTGCTGGAGGTAGCAGGCGATGGTCATTGCGCTCTGCACTGCATCTACAGGCTGCTGCACCCCGAGCGAGATAGCGTCTTCGGTGCACTAGCAAGCGAGATAACACAGACCCGCAAAGATGTCGCCCTGGAAATGATAGCTGCTGTTTTCTCTAAGGACTACGAGCAGCTAGTGGACAACACGGTGTCTGACGAGGAAATGCTGAGACTTGGCAAGCTCGACTACGAGAGGGGTTTCTACCGAAAGCGCACCCCCTCCGCCGGCCGAGCTGCAAGAGCTGTAAGACGCAAGCCACTGAAGACTGTGCGAGAGGTGGTGGCGGGCATCGAGGATCAACTGGAGCACGATTACTTGGCGGTAGGTCAGCTGGCGATAGTAGCTGCGGTGAAACGTTGCAATATCGTGGTCTGGGAAGCAACAACTGGAGGTGGGCTTCGAATCGTGGAAATGGGCGACACCACGGGCTGTTTCGTTGGCGATCTTTATCGGGATGAGTTTCTGCACCTGGTGTACAATGACTTCGGGGGCTACAACGCAGCTATGTATGCTGCGGGTACGGCTACANGAGAAACCACTCGAGCTCTACAGCAGCAAAGCGGAAGATGCTGCGGGGTCGGAGACGCTAGAGGGAGGCGGTGCCGGCGTAGCTCCCTCAAAAATGAAGCGTGGAAAGCGGGGGCGCCGCAGCACTTGCACTGCAAAATTCGCAAGCGGCCCTAAGCAAGGGGAGCCCTGTGGGGCCGAAGCGAAATCTCCCTGCGGTATGTTCTGTAATAAGCACAGCCGGCAGGGTAGTCGGAGCCGTACGTGCGGTAGGGATGGAAAAGGGGGTGATGACGAAGCGGAGTACGAACAGGAGCCTGAGGGGGACGACGACATGAGTGACGGCGGTGGTGAGGGTAGTGAGGGCGAGTTTCCGGGGGACGCAGCAGACTACGACCAGGATGTGTTCGTGAGTGGCAATAGCCCTCAGCAGGTCAAGGCAATGGTGGACAAGATACAGGAGGCCTGGGGAAACGAGGCCCTGACTTTCATCTTTGGGTTGGTGCAAAACACCAAGCAACTCGTGCAAGACCGCAACGTAAGGATGGGCGCATTTTTTTTTCGGTGAACGCTAGCCGCTTTTGAGCTGTCAAGTGTTGTCGTTTGTGTATTGCGGCAGCACGAGAGCCACATTAGTACGACTTCGCGTGGTCAAATATTTATGTTTCATAGTCGTGGGCGTGTCGACAACAACTATACATGTCACTGAGCGACGGGAGGATGGGAGGGGTACTCCCGCAATCAATAATCGATAGTGCACCACGTTGTGTATGCCTGAGGCTAGAAGGAAGGGACCTCTCCCTTTGCTTGTTGCTTCTCCCACTGCTGGAAAAGATCCGGCACTTCTTTGTCAGATATTGCGGCATCAGCAGAGTGTATGGTAGTATTGTGATGTGCGAAGAGCCTTCTCCGTCTGTCTGTCTCCGTGCCCCCCCTCCCCCCCTGACTCTCTTCTTCTTTGTCTGTCTGTGTCGCTCCTGCGCCCCTTTACCCTTGTGCGCTTCAAGCCTGCAGACCGGATACCTCTGTTCCCTCCCCTGTTACCACCGTATTTTTCCGTATCGTCACCAATAGCAGAAAAAGAAGAAGGCCAGGTCGGAGGTCGAGGAGGACGCTCCGGAAGGGGGCGACACAGGCGAGGAGCAGAAGGGAGACGAGGCCCTGGATACCGCCGACGAGCACTCTTGGACAACCCGCGGCATGAAGACAGATGTAGATTGGTCGGCGAGATACGATGGCGGCCTCAGCGGCGGTCATGACGCCCGTAGTGGAGCGAATGGGGGTGAGAGAGAGGGCACCGCAGATGACGACAGGAGTCGTGCCGGAGCGGGGGGCGATGCTGCGGGCTCGTTTGAGGGCGACGGTGAAGGGAGCGGCCGCGATGGGAACGGCAACGGCGGTAATGTTGGGAGCGGAAACGATGGGAACGATGACGGTGGTGATGGATTTGATTTTGACGGTGAAGGCTCCTACCGAGGGGACGGGCACCAGTACTACGACTGCCACCGTAAAAGGGAGGGAGAGGGAGAAGATGTAAGCTTCAAACCGTCGAAAAAGACATTAGACGCGTTGCCTGCGTTCGACCCAGACAAGTTGGGCAGATTTTCGGTGGACGAGCTAGGCGAACTTGCGTTCACCTTCTTCAGCATCATGTTTCCGGCCGCGGTGATCCTACTCCTTGTCCGGAAGGTCAGTGCAAGCATTTAACCCATCACGTCGCTGGTCATGCGTTGGATTGCATTCCTAGCTTGGTGGAGAGGGGGCTGTCCGTCACGTGTTCATACCATGATCGAAAGGGTGGGAATTGTGGCGCATGGCACCACCCTTCAATACCATTTTGCTCCACGGTGGTGCAACACCACCCACACCACACCCGACGCCGTCGACTGTTTTTTCGTTCGTTGCCTGAACATGTCCCGCCGTTGCGGCAGACAAACGAGTACTTCAACTTCTGTCGAAGCACCAAGAACCCTAAAGGACAGGAGCAGCGTCACCGCGACCAGAAAGCGAGGAAAGGTAAATCCAGCTGGCCGAAGAAGGGCATCACCAAGAGCATGATGCAGGGCGTCATCAGCATCATCCTCACCATCGGACTGGTCCAGTTGCCAGCGATGCATGACCACTGGAGCTGCCACTCCTTCCACGACTACAAGCTCGTGCGTGCTTGCCTCCCGCGCGACATGTTCCTCCTGATCTACGGCCGTTTCTTTCACATGGCAAGCTCGGGCGCTCCTGAACGATTGCAGGGCGGGACCACGGAGCCCGGTTGGGATTCGCTACACCATATCCGGTATGAATTGTGCGGCTGGTTTGTGCATGGAGATTGAAGATGCCTCTGTGCTATTAAAATGGGTATTTTGCGCCCGGATTGGAATACGTAGCCGTGCCTTACGAAATCTGCTTAGATTTGTTCCCAACGACAACAACACAGATGTCGAAGACAGGTGCTTGTCTTTCTGTCTTAAATAATCACGAAACCCCCGGCTTCAAGACGGACCCGAAAGGTCATTTATCACGACCACAAAAGCCCGACACGATGTAACACTGGTAGCAAGTCAAGGGGAGAGATGTATGTTGTACGAGCTGCCGTCGATACTGTTTCGCTTTTCCTGCAGAATTTCTTCCCGGAATAACAGTTTCCGAAGAAAATCACCCCCTGCCTTGAGCTTTTCTTCCGGATACGGGGTACCGTTCCGAATTGACATAGCACGCCATACCGTACGCAGTTGATACGTCGAATTCACGAAATCAATTGCGCACCCTGGCAACACCAATGGTCGCTTGCCGCCCCCTGTCGTGCAATCGTCTCTCGTTGCATACGTGTAGCGAGTTGGAGTCCATGTTGAACACGGCGTGGACTGGAGCCGCTTTGGTGGGTCGATGGATCTCATTCGACGAGCAGATGGTCAAGTGCGTTAGCCGTTCCGCAAAATTCATGATGAGGCACATGCCATGAAAGCCCATCAAGAACGGTGAGCATGCCAAACTCTCGGCGAGCAAGCGACGTACGCAAAATAATAGTGTGCCTTCGTAGGATNATTTTTCCAGGGGTGAAGATGTGGGGAATATGTTGCTGGAGCGGGTACTTTTTCACGGGATACACGGACGGCGGGTACGCCGGTGATCCGAAGATTCACCAGTGGTCTAATTGTCC